TCTATTTGAATTCATACGAGTTGCGCTGCTTCAATCGAAAAACAGATGCCCATGCAGCATTCGCCGCGCGCGACTACGCGACAACTTACGATTGTCTCGCAAGTCTCCTCCCCAAATCGAGTGTCCCGGTACAACAGGACTGCCTTTTTCTTCAACAATGGTTGATGAGAACTCAATTTAATTTTTATCGGTGAGCTTCCGCTGCGTAGCAGCTTCTTCAGAACCTTACAACAATTAAGTTGTCCAGAGTACTAACCAGACTCCCTTCTTAACAATAAAGTTGCTCAGGTCTGCAATACAATTTACTAGAGGCCTACAACTGTCAACCACACTACTACACGTCAACTTACAGACCTAAGCAACTCTATTGTTAAGAAGGGAGTCTGGTTAGTACTCTGGACAACTTAATTGTTGTAAGGTTTATAGTATTGTATGCTCGTTTTATTGTAGGTCTGAAGAAGCTGCTACGCAGCGAAAGCTCACCAATAAAAATTATATTGAGTTCTCATCAACCATTGTTGAAGAAAAAGACGTCATAACATGAGACTCAGGGATAGCTCAATTCTTCATTATAAGACTGGCTTTGTCATAAAATATTATGAGTTTCGGGTTTTATTCTGTATACCGCAATCATACGGGCGTAGAACTAATTGCGTCAATAAACGCACAAAAGGTCCTCCAACAAGCACCGAAACAAAGCTGCCACCAGGCCGCAAGCTAAGATGAAGGACAGAACTGATTCGCCGTTTCCTGCCTCACTCTGGAACTAGCCGAAGTATAACAAAACACCGTCCTAAGCTTACAATCTTCTATTTTTTTTCAACTGAGAGCATGTCAAACCCAAGCGGTATAGCAGTCTGATTTCCGAGGAAATCGGGAAAATCACTAAAGTGCCCATTCTTCTAACGTCCACAGGAAAGTAACTAGGAAGCTGAAGGCAGAGTAAAGTGCTCGGTTTTCAGTTTTTTTCAACGATGATTGAAATTTTTTTTTTCAAATATTTCTCACCCTTTAGAAACATTTCATGGGAACAAATGTGAAAATTGAGATCTCGAGCAAGTTTTCTTGTTTTTACCAAGCATAACTTTCTTCGAACGCCACCATTGTGACACAAAAACAGTTCTCAGAAGAAGATTTCCAGTTTTCAACACAATTTACAGTACTTCTGAAGACCCTTTAATTAAAAAGATATTTTGATTTTGGCACTGACTTGAAAATTAAGCGGCGTCATTTGAAAAATCTGTTGCTACCCGTTGCACTCAAAAACCTTAGCATGCGTTGAAAGCGCATCTTTCCGTTGAAAATAGTAAATAAGTTGTTTTGCTGAGGATCTCCATGATCGGCTTTCAATTAATCTCGGCATATAGACGTAGAATACTGCTGTGTGAACCGGTTTGCTGGGGATCGATTGACCTATTTAACTCGGCTCGCTCGCCACGCTCAGCGAGTGATTTCGAATCGCCTGAGATATCCAAATCTCACCCCTCCAGAAAATGGCGTTGACCGGTTAGGATGGCGGGTATGAGGGGGGAGGGGGGAGGGGGGGGGCAATCTTCGAAAACTTCAAGTACGAATTAGGATTACGGTAAGCAATGCACGACGAAATCTTCTGCAGTTTTAAATGCATCGGCAGTGTCCAAATGGATCTTGTTTTGCGAGCTGGACTGCAACACACTTCTTGTCCTGCATGAAGAAAACCTATTCTATGAGTGTGCCAAGCTCAGGATATCTCAGTCTAGGGGAAGCAGGACAGCTCGTGAGTTCGCAAGAGAGTCCAAGCTAGGATTCTCTGCGACGAGCGCAAGAAATCGTCCTACACAGAACGCATACACGAATTCCACTATGTGACTCGCTGTCCTGCAGCCTCAAAATATTAAAGCCGTAGAAGCTCACGGGTCTGTGATTTTTTTCTTATCTCGCGCTTTCGAGTGACCGAAGATATACACTCTCTGCGAGTGCAGAGTTGGATGCAAAATGGACAGAAGGTGGAAACGGTCTTTAAACACTGGAATCTCACCCTTTCCGCATCGAATCTGTCCATATGCAGTGGTCGATAACCGCCTTGATTCCACATCCAACTCGGGTTATCGCTAAGCACAGTATGTCGGCAGATATAAACCATAAACAATACTACAATACATGCTGATGGGATAATTAGGAAAGTGAACGCAACAGATTCCTGAAAAAAATAACCAATCAAAAGGGAATTAGGAATATAGTTGGAGAGGATCACGCCTCTAAAGACGAGCGACCACGGCGGCGCTGCGCTCTTCCCCCTAGGCTGTTGCGTCAGCGTCCACCAGCGACAACCAGCGCTCACTATATTTTCAAGCGTACGCCAGCGCTAGCGACTAAGGAAAGTACAGATATCGATCTAGCGAACGCCAGCGTCCACCAGCGTACAGCAGCGTTTTCGCGAGCACTCTGAACTTGAGCAGAACTGCCCGCGGAAACGCTGCTATGCGCTTGTGGTGGCTCCGCAACCTAACCGACGTAGTGATCCCTCCCTTCCCCAAACCCAGGTTTAGAAGTACGTGGACGATTCAGAGTCACTGTAGCTGTAGTCATCCAGGTAGGTTAGCGCCAGGAAATTTTGAAAAAAATATCGGAAAGACTCACGGTAAAAGAGGAGGTCATCAAAGGTATATTGGTGGTTTTGGCCAAAAGTGCTTGATAGACCACAGATGATGTCGAGTTATGCGGAGCTGCCTCTATTCCCAACAAATAACACATTAGAGGATAAAGTTCGATGTTTTCAGGAATATCCCTGATCTGTAAACAGGTGAACATTGAGGCACTCGAGATTACTCGATCAATAATCAAACCTTTTTCCTGGTACTAT